GGTGGTCCGGCCGACTCCAGCACCCCGTGTCCTGTTGGCTCTATGGCCGACGCCTACCCCATGTCCTGTGATGTTGGAGGTCCCGCCGACTACTCTCCTGCCGGGGGTCCTGCCAACCCTATGTCCTGTGATGTTGGAGGTCCCGCCGACTACTCTCCTGCCGGGGGTCCTGCCAACCCTATGTCCTGTGATGTTGGAGGTCCCGCCGACTACTCTCCTGCCGGGGGTCCTGCCAACCCTATGTCCTGTGATGTTGGAGGTCCCGCCGACTACTCTCCTGCCGGGGGTCCTGCCAACCCTATGTCCTGTGATGTTGGAGGTCCCGCCGACTACTCTCCTGCCGGGGGTCCTGCCAACCCTATGTCCTGTGATGTTGGAGGTCCCGCCGACTACTCTCCTGCCGGGGGTCTTGCCAACTCCATGTCCTGTCCTGTTGGGGGTCCCGCCGACACCTGTCCTGCCAGGGGTCCTGCCAACCCTATGTCCTGTGATGTTGGAGGTCCCGCCGACTACTCTCCTGCCAGGGGTCCTGCCAAATCCATGTCCTGTCCTGTTGGAGGTCCCGCCGACACCTGTTCCACCGGGGGTCCTGCCAACTCTGTGTCCTGTTCCGTTGGGGGTCCAGTCGACACCAGCCCATGTCATGTTCAGGACCCCGTCTACGCCTGTCCCGTCGGCTCCGGTTCCTGTCCGGCCGATACTGGTTCCTGCTCGTCCTCCGGAGCTGTCCCGTCGGCGCCTTCCTGCCCGGCCTCCGGAGCTGTCCCGTCGGCGCCTTCCTGCCCGGCCTCCGGAGCTGTCCCGTCGGCGCCTTCCTGCCCGGCCTCCGGAGCTGTCCCGTCGGCGCCTTCCTGCCCGTCCTCCGGAGCTGTCCCGTCGGCGCCTTCCTGCCCGTCCTCCGGAGTTGTCCCGTCGGCGCCTTCCTGCCCGTCCTCCGGAGCTGTCTCGTCGCCGCCTTCTTGTTCGCCCTCGAGCCCGGCCTCCTGAGTTCTCCAGCCGCGGTCTTCGCCCTCGGGCTCGGCCTCCTGATTCTTCCAGCCGCTGCCTTCGCCCTCGAGCCCGGTCCCCTGAGAGCCGCTGCCTTTGCTCTCATGCCCGGCCCCCTGAGTTCGCCCGCTGTGGCCGTCGCCCCTTTTTGGACTCTGCCTTGCCCCCGGGCCGTCCGCCCGGGACCCCTTTTGGGCCCGTCCTCCGGACCCCCTCCACCCACCCTTTTTGAAGTGTTAGACTATGTTTTTTGGGACGTCTGGGATCCGTCCCTTGAGGAGGGGGTTATGTCACGATCTGTCTGTCTGTGTTGTGTTTTGTCTTGTCTTTTTCTGGTTTCCTGTTTTGTTTTGAAATGTTTTCCTCCTTGTGTCTTCTCTGTTCCTTCTTCCTGTGTTTGCCTTCCTGTCTTAGTTTCCCTGGTGTGTCTGATTGTTTGATTGTGTTCACCTGTTGCCCTTGTGTTTCTGCCTCCCTTACCCCAGCTGTGTCTCGTCTTGTGATTACCCCTCTCTGTATTTAGTCTTGTCTCTTCCTGTGTTCCCCTGTCGGTTCATTGTTTGTTTCTCCTGTCTCCCACCATGTTGGTCACGGTCAGTTTTCTATAGAACCTATGTGTTTCATGCCATGCTATTGTTAAGCTTTAAGAATAAAGCTCGTTTTTGTTTCAAGACCGTTTACCTTTTCTGATAGTCTGCATTTGGGTCCTACCCTTCCACGCATTCCTTACAAACAGAGTATTAATACAGTGTAGTGTTAGTACTTTTACTGTAACAGAGTATTAATACAGTGTAGTGGTAGTACTTTTACTGTAACAGAGTATTAATACAGGGAATAAAGTCCAATGTCCAGGCATAAGATCCTTTCATCCGTTTATTGTAGTATTCCAATAAAAGCAAAGAGAACTACTGCAACTAAAATTGTTACGATAATTAATGATTCATTTACTAAAACTAAAACAGTCAGAAAATACATGTTTACTTATAAAATAAGATAAACCAATATTTAGCTCCAACTCTGAATGTAATGTTAGTTCAGTGAAGGCAGGATGTGCTTATCTAAACTCTGATTCATCTATTCTGCTTTATTAATGTCCTGCTCTTCATCTCTCTGCAGTGGGGAGGGGTCTTCATCTCTGTCCAGTGGGGAGGGGTCTTCATCTCTCTGCAGTGGGGAGGGGTCTTCATCTCTCTGCAGTGGGGAGGGGTCTTCATCTCTCTGCAGTGGGGAGGGGTCTTCATCTCTCTCCAGTGGGGAGGGGTCTTCATCTCTCTCCAGTGGGGAGGGGTCTTCATCTCTCTGCAGTGGGGAGGGGTCTTCATCTCTCTGCAGTGGGGAGGGGTGTTCTTCTCTGTCCAGTGGGGAGGGGTCTTCAGGCCAAAGTCTGCGAACAGTCGCCTCGGCTAACAGGAAGTCATCAAACTGGACCTGAGGGTAGAGAAGCCTGTCTCCAAACTGGACCTGTGTTTTGAGTATTTCTCCTTTGCAGAACTTCAGTTTCTCTCTCAGTCGGACCGGATCGAACTCCAGCAGCTGAAACAGGAAGAGCTCAGATTCAGCAACATGGACCCCATCATTAACTACAACTCCCATGAGCCTCTGGGAACACGTTCAAAATAATTGTTTAATTCATAATTATTTATAAATAAATATTAGGACGGTCAAAGTCAATGTGTTAATAAAACAACTTTCACTTTTTTTAACGCGTGCACGTTTTCTGAACCTGAAAGATATCCCTTTAAAATATTTAGAACGGATAAAATATTTGCCAATATTTTATTGGCTATGTAATTACATATTTTAATCCATTGAAAGCCCTTTAATAATAATAACTTCAATTTATATAGCGCCTTTGAGGGGACCCAAGGCCGCTTTACAGAGAAAGCATTGTCTTATATATATTTTTTTTTCAAATTTATATTTATACATTCATGTGACATTTTCTCCATTTCGTTTACATTTATGATGGTAAATGATGATCACAAAATGTCATGAAATTAAAAATGTTCTTCACATTTTTCTGACTGTTATTGATCTTTAACCTCTTAAGCCCTGAGCCTGTTTTTCAGGTCTCAGGCTCGAAAATGACATTCCCAGAACTAATGAGCATATCTTCCCTTCTAAAAGGGTTAAATTAATAATATTTTTTCTCAAAGTAATGATAAACCTGTGAGTTGGATGTAGAAAAGTCAGAATCAATATAGATGTTTTTTATATTAAAGAAAATTCATATTTTACATAGTAAAAAACTGTAAATTATAGTGTCCGTCCAAAAATTCCTTTTTTACTTATAGTGAAAACTACTCTTGGATGATGGGTTAGTAGACTAAAAGCTTTAGGAATCCAAAGTACAACATATAATAAGTACCCTGTATCAAGATTGATGCAAAACAAGTGACATTTGGCCTTTTTAGAGAGATTTAGCAAAAAGAAACCACTTCTGGGGTCATTTGGGTGGATTTTCCAAAATCTCTGGCCCCCCTTGCTCGATTTTGATGAATGAAATCTCTTTATACAAAAAAAATGGAATTATGGATTATAAATATTTTTTTCAAAGTTTCAAGGCACAGATACATTATTAACCTATGGATAAACAGTTGTAGCATTTTTTTCCTCTCCTGCTGATGTTCAGGTGTATATCAGTATGTAGTGTCTCTACTTTAAAGAGTCCTCTCCTGCTGATGTTCAGGTGTATATCAGTATGTAGTGTCTCTACTTTAAAGAGTCCTCTCCTGCTGATGTTCAGGTGTGTATCAGTATGTAGTGTCTCTACTTTAAAGAGTCCTCTCCTGCTGATGTTCAGGTGTATATCAGTATGTAGTGTCTCTACTTTAAAGAGTCCTCTCCTGCTGATGTTCAGGTGTATATCAGTATGTAGTGTCTCTACTTTAAAGAGTCCTCTGCTGCTGATGTTCAGGTGTATATCAGTATGTAGTGTCTCTACTTTAAAGAGTCCTCTCCTGCTGATGTTCAGGTGTATATCAGTATGTAGTGTCTCTACTTTAAAGAGTCCTCTCCTGATGATGTTCAGGTGTATATCAGTATGTAGTGTCTCTACTTTAGAGTCCTCTCCTGCTGATGTTCAGGTGTATATCAGTATGTAGTGTCTCTACTTTAAAGAGTCCTCTCCTGCTGATGTTCAGGTGTATATCAGTATGTAGTGTTTCTACTTTAAAGAGTCCTGGTTAGGTAATGTGTTTCATTTCGTTTGGTTACATTTTTTGTTGTGTTTATTAATATAAAAGCCTCTCAGAGTTTGGGGGGGGGGCATTGGGAGTATATAGCGTGAATAATGAACCCTTTATATTTCTGCGACATCTCCACACAGCCACAGTGTGTGTGTGTGTGTGTGTGTGTGTGTGTGTGTGTGTGTGTGTGTGTGTGTGTGTGTGTGTGTGTGTGTGTGTGTGTGTGTGTGTGTGTTGTGTTGTGTGTGTGTGTTGCATGAATGGTGCTTTGTGTTGCAGTCCAAAATGACGCTCTCTCAAATCAGTTTTATTTCTGATTTACGGAAATTACAATAAGAGTCAGAATATTAAAAAACATTTAATGAGAAATTGGCTGGAAATATTCAAGACAATTCAAAACACTGCAATCAGAGATTCTGGATATCAAGAGTAAAAGTCAGAATATATATCCAGATAAAATCTACAGAAAATTCTAAATGTTAAAATTCAGAATGTTTTGGAAATAATTGCAGAATTAAAAAGAAAAACTGTCAGAAATCTCCAAATAAAAGTTGGAAAATCACCAAAAAATAAATGTTAAATAAAACAAGAATTGTCAAAATATTAAGAGAAAATATTCTGAATTTCTACATTAAAGATTATTTGGAATATTTTAAAAAGAACGGACATTTTATAAAACAAACATGAGGAAAAACTCAGATTATTATTTTTAAAGTTATGTGTAATTGCTAAGAACTAACTTTTACTACACAAACACACACTGTTCCCTCAGCACAGAGACATACTGTGGTCAGACAATCCACACACACACACCCACACCCACCCACACACACACACACAGCATGGCGGCCGTCTCTCCTCCGGTCTTCGTCCTCTTCCTCGTCGTGCTGTCAGGTGAGAAACAAACTGAGTAACTGAGTACTTTTACTTCACCCTGATTACTTTACTTCTTATTTGAGGTACTTGCAGTATTTTCTCTCCGTGCCGCTCTCTACGTTTCTCTGACGGCTGCAGCTCCTCCACTAACTCAGACGCTTGACAAGATGCAAAGGACCCTCATGTGGATGTGGACCTTTGGCCTCGTGGTGCTCTGCAGCTCGGCACATGAGAAGATTTGCTGCTTTCTCTTTACAATCTGAACGAAGAGTTAGAAGCTGTATCTTTGGTTTGATGTGAACTAAGAAGAAAGAAGCTCAAAACACCGCTGGGAGACCAGAGGAAACTAGAAAGTTCATTTCTTTTGTAAAATTCCCCCAAAAAGTCTGAATATTTTTACGGAAATAACTTTTTTTCCTTTTTCCAAATAGTTGGATTATCAAAGTAGAAAAGAAGAAAGGAGATTAAAAGTGTGTGTGTGTGTGTGTGTGTGTGTGTGTGTGTGTGTGTGTGTGTGTGTGTGTGTGTGTGTGTGTGCAGGGACGTCCTGCTTCAAGGTGTGGGAAGGGGGCATGGCCTCGCTCACCTGTCAGTACTCGGTCCGGCGTTTGGGGCGGAGCCGGGTCTGCTGGGGGCGGAGCTGCGGAACGTTCTGGTGCCGAGACCTTTTACTGCAGAGCGACGAGAACGGGGTCGTGTCAAAGGTACTAATACACACTGTACACACACTCTGTTACAGCTGAAGTACTAATACACACTGTACACACACTCTGTTACAGCTGAAGTACTAATACACTCTGTACACACACTATGTTACAGCTGAAGTACTAATACACACTGTACACACACTCTGTTACAGCTGAAGTACTAATACACTCTGTACACACACTATGTTACAACTGAAGTACTAATACACACTGTACACACACTATGTTACAGCTGAAGTACTAATACACACTGTACACACACTCTGTTACAGCTGAAGTACTAATACACACTGTACACACACTCTGTTACAGCTGAAGTACTAATACACTCTGTACACACACTATGTTACAGCTGAAGTACTAATACACTCTGTACACACACTATGTTACAGCTGAAGTACTAATACACACTGTACACACACTCTGTTACAGCTGAAGTACTAATACACTCTGTACACACACTATGTTACAGCTGAAGTACTAATACACTCTGTACACACACTATGTTACAGCTGAAGTACTAATACACTCTGTACACACACTGTTACAGCTGAAGTACTAATACACACTGTACACACACTCTGTTACAGCTGAAGTACTAATACACTCTGTTAAGGTACTCTTTGATATATTAATACTCTGTTGCAAAAAAACGTGAAAAAGTAAAGAAATTGTAAAAAGTCTAGGAAGATTTTTCCAAAAGTACAAAATGTCAGTGAAAAGGTAAGAAAATAGTTTAAAAAGATATAAGAAAAATGTCTGAAAAATACGTCTAAAAAGAGGAAGAGAAATACATCAAATAAATGAGAATGATGTCCCAAAGAATTTGGAAAAATCTGAAAAATATATACGAACATGTTCAAAGAGGAAACTTTTTTTTGCAAAATCTGATCAGCTGATTTTCAGACAAGTTTTTATAAAAATGGATCAAAAAGAGAGAATCTTTGTTCCTGAGACTTTCAGAGTCTCTTTCCACAGAGGGGACACATGTTGATGAAGAAGAGACATGAAGAAGAGGGGACACATGTTGATGTAGAGACATGAAGAAGAGGGGACACATGTTGATGTAGAAGAGACATGAAGAAGAGGGGACACATGTTGATGTAGAAGAGACATGAAGAAGAGGGGACACATGTTGATGTAGAAGAGACATGAAGAAGAGGGGACACATGTTGATGTAGAAGAGACATGAAGAAGAGGGGACACATGTTGATGAAGAAGAGACATGAAGAAGAGGGGACACATGTTGATGAAGAAGAGACATGAAGAAGAGGGGACACATGTTGATGTAGAAGAGACATGAAGAAGAGGGGACACATGTTGATGTAGAAGAGACATGTGTCCCCTCTGTGTGAAGAGAGTCTCTTTCCACACTGACCTTGCGTTGGTCCCAGGTGTCGGAGCGGTACCGGCTCAGTGGGGCGGTTCTGGACGGGCAGATGGATCTGGACATCCTGGACGTTCAGAGGACGGACAGCGGGCCGTACTGCTGCCGGGTCGATATCCACGGCCTCTTCAACGACAAAAAGGTCATCATGAACCTGAGGGTGGTCAAAGGTGAGGCTCAGAGACACGTTGAGGTGTAGCTACAGTAGCTACAGAGTGACACATGACAATCTGAGGCTCAGAGACACGTTGAGGTGTAGCTACAGTAGCTACAGAGTGACACATGACAATCTGAGGCTCAGACACGTTGCAGCACAATCAAACAGACAGACAGTGAGCGTTCCTCCACATCGCTCAGTTTAATCTGACTGTGTTTACTCTCAGCTCCGGTCACCACCTCTCCAACAACAACAACAACAGGAACCAGTCAGGTGACCACAGGTGAGCCTCATCTACCTGTCCCTCATGTCAGGGTTTAGACTCATACTGCTGTGTTATGTCAGTTTAGCACCTCTCTCTTATTCTAATCTTTCAGTAGTTTAGAGAACGTTGTCTGTGCAGCTCTTCAGATCATTTGCAGATTGAGTGTGCGTTCGTGTCGAGAAACGCTGCGTTCACTAAAATCACACGTTAATTTGTTCAGTAATTCAATGTGTGTGTGTGTGTGTGTGTGGGCGCGCAGTGAACTGGAGGTCGCTGCTGTCGTCTCAGCTGGATCTCCTGAGGAGGAACTCGACCTCCGACCCCGACGCCTTCACATCTGAGGTCATTATTAGATTTCATTATTAGACTCATCTCATGGGAGCTGATCTATAGAAACGAGGGAACCATAGAATTAAACGAAGGGCGGCTGATCACTGACCTTTGAGCACCAATAAGTGAACAGAGACCTCCTTAGCCGCTTTCACACCAAGCATTTAGCCGGTACTTAGTCCCCGGTACTTGTTCCCCTCGAACTCTTTAGTCCCTGGAAGTGTCCTAGTACAGTGGTTCTCAACTGGTGGGTCGCGACCCAAAAGTGGGTCGCGGACCCGTTTCGAGTGGGTCGCGGATGTGTGAGTGAAGAAAAAAAAGTTGAAAAAAAAAAATTGGATTTTTTTTTTTTTTTTTTTTGGGGGGAAAAAGTCAAACTTTTATTTTGAAGGCCCGATTTTCTTCTCAGAGTGTACCAGAATGCGTAGTTTATGTTAGTATTTCTAAAAATCTTCTGGGGGAGAATCCCCCCAGACCCCCCTGCTGGGGTTGGGTTTCAGCATGTGTGCCTTTTTATATAGTTCAGCTTTGATTCCATCATCTCATTAAACCTTTTTTAAAAGCATACTTTAGTTCTGTGAAGGGATATAAGGGATATATGCACTGTACTTCAATTTATTTTATTAATATTGTATGCTCAAAAGCGTATATATATATTACAGCACGATTTTTTGTTGAATAGATTTGAGTGCTTCAAAATGTTGGGTCGCGATGTATTGACCAAGTAAAAAGTGGGTCCCGAGGCCTGACCAGTTGAGAACCACTGTCCTAGTAGATCGCGTTCACACCGGAATAAGTCCCTGGGGAAGGATTAGGCAAATGAAGCCGCTGACGTCACTTCACGGCGTATACTGCCACCCGAAGTCCATGGAGTTGGGGACTGGCCCAGCAGCTTCTACTGGTTTGCAATTCGCCCAGCCAATCAGAAATGGTTTGTGTGGCCGACACCCACGAACCATTTCCTCCCCAGGAAAGTACTACCTCTCTAGCAGGGACTATCTGGGGGTGAAAAGGTTCGCGCAAACTAGCGACTAGTTCCAGATCCTTTTGGTGTGAAACCAAATTCCCCCCCCATCGGTCTAGTTCGGGGGGAAAAGTACTCCGGTGTGAAAGAGATTCACTATAGAGACCCAGATATTAATTCCCAAGATCTTTTATTTATAATTTTGGAATTTTTTTCCCAACATTTCCGACTTTTTCTCAAAATTCCGGAATATTTTCACTTTTTTCTTGAATTGTTCAAATTATTTACTCAAAATGTTCCAACTTGCTTCAGAATAACATTGCTTTTTTAACATTCCACCTTTTTTTCCTTTATATTCTGGCGTTTTCCAGAGAATACGGAAACTTTTCATTTAGTAAATTATCACAATTTTCTTGTAGAATTAAAATGTTTAAATTATAAAGTTCACATTTATTTTGTAAAATGTTCCAACTTTCTCACAAAACTCTTAGACGTTGCCGTGTAATATTTTAAAAAGTCTGACAACGTATGTATGAAATAGAGATTTTAATAAAAAATCAAATATTGACACTTCTTTCGTTACCTATATATAATAATAATAATAATAATATCCCCCCTCCAGACGAGAGTCCCTGTGGTCTCGCTCTCCGTCGTCCTGCTGATCGTCTTCGCCTCCATCTTCCTCTTCCTCGCCTTCAGACGTACGTTTCCTGCTTCAACACAAAATGAAAACAGGCAGAGTTTGTTATTAATGTGATTTCTTTCTCTCTGCAGGCGGAGTGCACAGACGGGCCTTCAGCGGCGGATGGTGAGTTCAGGGAAACACTCGCGCTGTTCCTATTGGCTAGAGATCCAACACATTGGGCTTAGGGGCGGGACATCTCTAAGCGGTCGACCAATCACAACAGAGCTGGCCAGCTAACCAATCAGAGCAGACTGGGCTCTGGTCACTTTCTTTCTCGGAATTTGATATTTTTTCTCAGAATTTGATATTTTTGTCTTTTTTCTCAGAATTTGACGTTTAGACTTTTTTCTCAGAATTTGACTTTTTTTGTCTTTTTTCTCAATTTGTCTTTTTTCTCAGAATTTGACTTTTTGGACATTTCTCTCATAATTTCACATTTTTCTCATAATTTCTTTTTTTTAACATTTATATTTTATTAAACATTTTCAAAAGACAAAAACACACGGACAAGGACATGGCTCACATACATTACAAGTAGGACAGGACATAACATGAAGGGTGGGGGGGTAGGGGGATTACAGTGTCAGTTACATTTGATGTATGCATATGGCGTTGTATTTTTACATGATTTGCTTCATAATATAGGTATACCTCATTGTTTAACCTGTTCCACTCTGAGCCTGTTTTTCAGGTCTCAGGCTCGAAAATGACATTCCCAGAACAAATGACCATATCTTCCCTTCTAAAAGGGTTAAATTAATAATCTTTTCTCAAAGTAATGATAAACCTGTGAGTTGGATGTAGAAGTGTCAGAATCAATATAAATGTTTTTTATTTTAAAGAAAATTCAGATTTTACATAGTAAAAAACTGTAAATTATAGTGTCCGTCCAAAAATTATTTTTTACAGATAGTGAAAACTACCCTTGGATGATGGGTTAGTAGACTAAAAGCTTTAGGAATCCAAAGTACAACATATAATAAGTACCCTGTATCAAGATTGATGCAAAACAAGTGAAATTTGACCTTTTTAGAGAGATTTAGCCAAAAACTGGGCCATCTGGGGTCATTTGGGTGGATTTGACCTATCTCTGGCCCCCCTTGCTCGATCTGGTTGGTTGACATACCCTTGTGACCGTTAGAGCCAATAGAATCGAAGGAGGAGACTTACATAGACACACATTGTAAAGAAAAAATGTTGCCGCTTCGCGTGTGGAAAGCGAAACTAAACTGGAGGAATGTCTCCTTCTGGAGTTTGGAAACTAAAACGCCGTTGTATTGCTTATGGATTATCAGAAATAATTTCAAAGAAGGCACAGACACATAGGATGAACCTATGGATTAACTGCAGCATCGTTTTTTTATCGTTTTAATGCCATTGAAGACCACTTTTGACCAAGGTAAGCCATATTTACTGTTTAGCTTCTTGGCTCCACATGTGATGATGTACGCTTTCGTTGATAGCGTCGCGAATGTTTATCACTGAGTGTTGAGGTGGGCACCGTTAGATTCAGTGTCTCCAGGACACCAAAAAATAGTGTTTGGTTGTGCATCTAGGATAAGTAATAAGGGAGTTCTGAGTGAGTTTATGTGCCTTTGTAGGTTACGTTTTTTCGTCGAGGCTAATTCAGAGGCTGAGTGCTAGCATTGTGGGTTTTTTTTTGAAAAAAAAAATTAAAAAGATCAGTTAGCTGAGTTTCTTCCCGTTACATGGATATAACACATTCATAGTTTTATTCAATATTAAGATTCCTTAGACGTTGTTTCCTGCAAATGACGCGTTTATCCGCCCGGTACCGGGGGGAAGGCGTGAAACAGGTTAATAGGTAAATAAATAGATAGATAGTCAAATGAATAAATACATATATATATATATGCACACATATGTACATATACACATCTCTTCCTTTTTCTCATAATTTGACATTTTTCACATAATCTTTTTTTCGCAGAATTGACTTTGTCAGAATTTTATCTTTTTCTCAGAATTTGACTTTTTGGAAATGTTTTCAGAATTTCTATTTTTCTCATTTGACTTTTGGCATTTTTTTCTCATAATTTGACTTTTCTCTCAGATTTTGAAATTGTTCTCAGTTTGGACTGGGCTCTGGTTTTAGACAGAGGGTGAAAAGAGTACCAGTAAAGACGCTAATTCTAATATAACCTGCAGCTGGTTCTGTGTGTGATTGTGTGGTTCTGGTTGTGTTAATAAAGTTATGTTTTCTCCTGCAGCTTCTCGGAGGAGGAGGAGCCTCCGCACATCATCTACGAGATCCGGCTGAGGAGGCCTCTGCAGGAGAACGTCTACACGCTGGATTAAAATCATTCATATTTAATAAAAAGCAACAAAACCTCTCAGATCCTGCTTGCCTCTTTATTAATAACAACAAACTGAACGACGCGCGTGTTAGATATTCACATCAGCTGCTGTTAACAAACTCCATCCTCCATATCCCTCAGGAGAAAGAAGAACTATTAACAAAGACAAAAAAAAACAACGACTTTTCTTTATTATGTTCAATTTTCATGAAAAATACTGAGATTTTTACGGTGTCCTTGAATGTCATGAAAGGCGCCTCCAAATGAAATGTATCATTATTTATTTTTTCCTGCAATATTACAGTTTTTTCCGTATTCTTCTGGCTTTTTAAATAATATTTACACTCTTTATGTTTGTTTGATTCCAGCTCGTATTTCGTGACAATCTTTTCAAAAATATTCAGATTTTTTCAATTAAAAAATATTGAGATCTTTTTGCTAGTTGGTCACTATCAAATACTACTCATCAAAAAGTGTCGATAAACATCGGTTCCCACATGATTTGAGTTAAACATCTACGAGGCGGCGTTACTCATATGTTAGCTTAACACTGCCTGAAGTGTGTGTTCACCTGCAGGGGAGGCACACACACACACACACACAGGTATTTTGATAACGTCGTCCCCATGGTAACCTTTGATCTCTGGGCTTACACACACAGGTGTTTGTAAACATTCCTTCACTACTACTTACATTTAATATCTTTATTTAACTCCCTCAGCCTAATTTCAGCTGCAGGAACCATTCAAATATCAAACTATTCAGCCTTTCAGCACATGATGGGGAAACTTTCAACTTTTTCAAAATATGTTATACTTTTTAAAATATTCAGCTTTTTAAAAGTCTTTTTTTAACATGGAAGTCATTGCAATGCATTTGAGCTGTAACAATTTCTGCATTTCTCTGCTAAGTTCAGCAACACACTTACTTGGTTTTTGTAGCTAAAAGCAGTTACCATTCAGCTAATAACATATTCGGCTTTTTCTGCATTTTCAGCCACAAATGTTCACAGTTTACAGCATTCACACGCATTTTCTGCAGGAAATGCATTTTCTAGTATTATTATTATTTCAGCCAATACTTTGGCCCTCCATAACTTCAGCCTACTTTCAGCTACAGAAACCATTCAAATATTAAACTATTCAGCCTTTTCAGGAATCGATGGGAAACCTTCAACTTTAACAAAATATTTTATACTTTTTGAAATATTCAGCTTTTTAAACTCTTTTTTTAACATGGAAGTCAATGGGACGACTCTTCAAATCCTCTTTTAACTACACCTTACGCCAAATGCTTCTCCTTCCACATACTTTCATCTAGAGACTTAATTCCAACTTTAAAATGATCACAAAACCTTCAGCTATAAAACTTAGTTTGGAGCTTGGTAGAGAAGCCTTTTTCAGATTTTAACATTAGTGTGTATTGCGCAGCTCGTTAAGTGAGTGCTTTGATCTCAAAACAGAGTGGAGGAGTGCTTGAAATTCTCCCAAAAAAATGTTTTAAACCTGCCATAATTCCCAAACCCTACACTCCTCAGACATATGTTTTCATGAAAAACGTAGGAAAACCTCTCCTAGGTTGGAAAATAAAAAAATTAAGAAAAGATATTTAACAAAATGCCTCGAGGGCATGAAGTGACAAAAACTTTTCAAAAAGTCCACCTAGCTCTCATCAGACTCCATGTAAACAATTTCCGGATCTTTCTTCAGAACAGAGAGAACTGCTCCCATCTTCACATTTACCACACAAAACCCCAAAAAAAAACATATATCAGTTCATTGGGGTTCCCTGATGCTCACGGTCTGTTCATTTTTTGATAGGAGCCATAGTTTTTGAACAGGTGGTCAGATATCAAGGTTCAAGGTTCAAGGTTCTTTATTGTCAATCTGACATAGCTACAGAGTAATTATGCAGTTGAAAATCTTATGTCACAGGCTTCTCCAACAATGCAACATAATAATATAACATAATAACAATAAGAGCAAGAGCAATACAAAAATAATAATAGTTATAAAAATGAAATAAAGTTATGATGTGGAATAGTGCAGTATGAGTCTATATACAAGTTATTGGAATGATATATATATATATTAGGTATTAGATACATACTACTGAGTAGCAGTTGAATGTTTGAAGTTGTTTCAACAGTTCAATTTTTTTAACAGTCTCACTGCCCGCGGGAAGAAACTGTCTCCGAATCTTCTTGTCCTTGCCAGGATGCTGCGGTAACGTCTGCCAGACGGCAACAGAAAGAACAGTTTGTGGCTGGGGTGATGGGGGTCTTTGATAATCCGTAGTGATTTCTTCCTGAGCCGCTGGGAGTAAAGGTCCTCCATGGATGGCAGCTCCGTCCTGGTGATGTGCTGTGCAGTTTTCACCACCCTCTGTAAAGCCTTACGATCGAGGTCGGTGCAGCTGCCGTACCAGGCCGTCATGCTGCCAGTGAGGATACTCTCTATCGTGCACCTGTAGAAGTTGCAGAGTATCCTGGAATCCATTTTGAACCTCCTCAACCTGCGGAGGAAGAAGAGCCGCTGTCGAGCTTTCTTGGTGATGGTGGTGGTGTGAAGAGACCATGTCAGGTCCTCAGTGATGTGGACCCCAAGGAACCTGAAGCTTTTGACTCTCTCCACCGTAGTCCCATTGATGGCGATGGGGGCGTGTCCCTCTCCCTGCTGCTTCCTGTAGTCCACAATCAGCTCCTTTGTTTTGCTGATGTTGAGATGGAGGTTGTTCTCCTGGCACCAAGATGTCAGGTTTTCGACCTCCTCTCTGTACGCCGTCTCGTCATCGTCTGTGATCTGGCCGATGACGGTCGTGTCATCAGCAAACTTCACGATGGTGTTGGAGCTGTGTGTGGCCACGCAGTCGTGGGTGAACAGGGAGTAGAGGAGAGGGCTGAGCACGCAGCCTTGAGGGGCACCGGTGTTGAGAATCAGGGTGGAGGATGTGATATTTCCCACCCGCACTGCCTGGGGTCTGCCCGTCAGGAAGTTCAGGATCCAGTCACAGAGGGCGCTGTTGAGCCCGAGGTCTCTGAGCTTGATGGCCAGCTTGGAGGGCACAATGGTGTTGAATGCTGAACTGTAGTCAATGAACAGCATTCTCACATATGTGTTCCTGTTCTTCGGGTCCAGGTGTGAGAGGGCAGTGTGGAGGGTGAGGGCTATGGCGTCGTCTGTGGACCTGTTTGCTCTGTAGGCAAACTGCAGGGGGTCCAGAGATTCAGGGAGGGAGGAGGTGATGAATAATTTGACTAACCGCTCAAAGCACTTCATTATGATGGAGGTGAGTGCTACTGGGCGGTAGTCGTTGGGGCAGGTGATGATTGTCTTTTTGGGGACAGGAATGATGGTGGAGTGTTTAAGACATGTGGGGACTACAGACTGCAGCAGGGACCTGTTGAAGATGTCTGTGAACACCTCTGCCAGCTGAACTGCACACACCCTGAGAACACGGCCAGGGATGCCATCAGGTCCAGGAGCCTTGTGTGGGTTAACCCTTTTAAAGGATTTACACACATCTGCCCTATTTAAAACAAAAGGGCAGTGTAGCTCCTGGTCCCTCTGTACCTCCACAGCCTGGCTGCTCTCAAAGCGTGCAAAAAAACTGTTTAGCTCATCTGGGAGAGATGCGCACGCAGACACTCCCGCAGCACCCCCCGCTGCTCCTTTGTAGTCAGTCATTGTCCTTAGTCCCGCCCACATATTCCTAGTGTTACAGCCTTTGAAGTCAGATTCCACCTTGTCTTTGTACTGTCTCTTTGCATTTTTTATTGCTCTCCGGAGATCATACCTAGACTTCCTGTACTCCTCCAAATCTCCCGCTGTGTGCGCGAGAGTGCGCGCTTTCAGTTTGCCGCGCACCTCACCGTTTACCCAGGGCTTTTGATTTGGGAATGTCCGTACAGAAACCTTCGGTACCACGTCATCGATGCATTTCCCAATGTAGCAGATGACAGTGTCCGTGTGTGTGTTGATGTTATTGTCCTCAAACACACTCCAATCCGTAGATGCAAAGCAATCCTGCAGTGCTGAATCTGACTCCTCGCTCCATCGTTGTACTGTCCTTGTTATCGGTCTGTCCCTTTTAAGTTTCTGCTTGTAAGCAGGCAACAACAGTAGTGAGATATGGTCTGATTTGCCGAAGGGAGGGCGAGGGAGAGCCTTATATCCATTCCGGAAAGGGGAATAAACATGGTCCAGTATGTTTCCCCCGCGCGTCGGGAAGTTGATGTGTTGGTAATATTTTGGCAAAACCTTCTTCATGTTGGCGGTGTTGAAATCTCCGGCCACAACGAACGCCGCATCTGGCCGTGAAGTCTCGGTTTTATCAATAAACCCAAACAGCTGATCGAGTGCCGTGTTGTTGTCGGCGAGTGGCTGCGGCGGGATATACACTGCTGTTATCACAACAGATGTGAATTCCCTCGGCAGATGGAAGGCCCGACATGAGATCATGAGGTGCTCTAGCTGTGCGGAACAGTCCGATGAAATAATCTTCACATCTGAGCACCAGTTGTTGTTAGTCATTACACACACACCGCCTCCCTTACTTTTCCCCGAGTTTGCAGTCCGGTCCTGACGAAAAATAGAGAATCCGTCAGGGACAATAGCGGAGTCCGGGATAGCGGGGTTGAGCCAAGTCTCAGTGAGAATTAACACGTTACAGTTCTTAATGTCCCGTTGAAAAGCAATCCGGCTTCTGAGTTCATCTAGCTTATTTTCAATGGATTGAACATTAGCCAGAAGAATACTCGGAAGAGGGGGCCGATTCTCACGTTTTCTCAGTCTGACCAGCAACCCGGCCCGGCATCCCCGCTTTGTCTTCTTCTTGCGTCTCTCAGGTAGAACAGCAACAGGAGAGGAGCACAAAGACGATGCGGCCATCGTCACCGGCGCATCAGCAATTATGTTATATATGATCCTCAATGCATTCTTAATGGCACTCAGTGCTGCAGTTGGTTGCCATGGTGCTGCTGGGCAGATTGAAACCTTTGATCTCTGGGCTCACACAGGTGTTATGATTATTTGTTATGA